GAGTGCACAAATTTTTGTGCACCGGGCCTCTAGTAATATTATAATCATTGTAATACCTCAAATTTATGCAGTTTGCAGTTCATACGAGACTTTTATATTCATTATTATAGTTAATTCTCAAAATGTTTGAGTTACCAAGTCAGATATAGGTACCATATCAACTTTTAAATTTTGTGACTCAGGGATATTTTAGAACTTACCCAGGGTCATGTTAACTGTTAGATAGGTATTGGCGTTCATAGGCTACTGCATCATGACTTCAAATCATCAAATAATATTTACTTTTATGCCATATAATGTGGTTAGTAAGACAGAAAAGCATGTAATACATTCTAGAATTTCCACAAAAATTGCTGATGTGCTAAACACATCCACAAAAATTAATTTGAAACTTCCACAAAATTTAATTTGAAAGTTTTTAAACTTTTGAGCCCTTGAACGAATAAAATTAAGTAACATGAAAAATTCCCTTATATCAAATCCCCATTTCCCTATATGCCACAGAGATTTAAACTTACAATGTTAGTAGTAAATCCAGAACCATTAATTATCCTACATTTTAAAGTCTAAAATCTGTACATAAAATATAAAAGAACATGCACATTATAGCAATCACTTAGATTTGATGTATTTAACTGAAAACATAGAAGCATCAGAGGGAAGGTGGGGATGGAGGCGGCAAGGGAGAGATAAACCAAAGAACTTGTATGCATACTAGTATATGCATAACCCATGGACACAGGCAATAGTGTTGTGAAGGCCTGGGGGATGGGGGGTGGAAAGTAGCAGGTGCAGGGTAGAGGAGATTAATGGGGGAGAAAAGGGAGACATCTGTAATACTTTCAACAATAAAGATAAATTTTTACTAAGTATTATAAAAGAGTCTAGAGATACTTGAACCTAGGTGGATTCTTGTGGGAGAGAAGGTAGATATGGAATATTAGAGTAGATGTCCTGTGTCAAAGCACTTCCCCCTTGAACATTTAGCTTTAACAATATTAGAAACCCTCAATGCTATAACGTTTTAAGGTAAAATAATAATATTTATAATATTTCTAAAAATGAGGAGAAATAAATTGCTTTGGGTTTTCTTTTTGCTTTTTAAGCAATTGATTTTTCATAATCAAACACTATCCAACAAAAGGAAGTAGGAGAGAGAAAAAAGTAAAGTTGCAGCTGAAAAAAATTCCTATACTACCTTTTTCCAGGGCAAGGCTTATAGTCAGTTTAAAACCTTGATTTGTTATCATAAGAACAAAAAAAAATGCACAAAAATGTTACATAAATGGAGCTATCTGCTTAACACTCCTAATGGATCACAATCTGCCATCACCATGGTAACCTCTGAATAACTTTTTCCAGGCTAGTGCCAATTATGCACTTCTCTGGCCCTTGAAATCCCACTCTTTTTTTTTTAAGGCCTGGAATTTTTAAAAGAATAAAGCCCAACAGTTAAGTCCACACATACCCTCTTGTTCAGTCCGAGTCATTTCCTCAAGCTTCTTCTGTTTCAGTGTGTCCACCACATCGGCAAGGCTCCCTTTGCGGCGTTCTGGGGTTCCAAAAGTAACACTGGTCATTATCTCGCGGTCCCGACTCCCTTCGTCAGGCTTATGTGGTGAGGTAGAGGTATTTCGGAAGGAATATAGGGAACATAACTTATTATTCTCTGACTCCTAGAAAAACAGAATAAAATAAAACCATTAGAATACTTGTTTCTTTGCATATCATTGAGAGAAAAAATCCCAAACTCAGAATGACAATATGTGATGCTTAGATGGACAAATAAAATACAGTAACTATCTCCACTTAAAAAAATACTAAACACTAAAGCAATTATCAAAGGAACTAATCTGAAAATGCAGATTCATACTGGTATGTTGTTGTTTTTATTAAAAGCAACCTAAGTGGTTCAAAACCAATTTCAAAATGGACACCTCAACTTCTTCTGCATTTGTGCCCTTCTTTTAAAATAGTTTATATTCAATTACTAATTATTAGAATTGGTAAAGTTTTTCTTTAAATTGGCAGTTTAATTAGCACAGCCTAAAAATACATATACATCACAAAAACATTATCATCCTTGAACTTAGAAACAGTAGAGAAATTAGCTTCAATGATTGTTAATTGTTCATCAGAAAATATAAAAAATGTCTAAGTCACTTCCAGAAAAATAACTAACCTGAATATTTTTGTGTGTTGGGTTTGGGGAAAATCACTTTTTTTCTAGCTGTCTATCTATCAAAAGTTTCAGAAACCTCTTTCTATTCCTTACCTTTATCATAGTCACACACATTTCTCATGTGGTATTTAGAAATGGTTTGTTGTTTATGTTTGTTTACAAAAGAACAAGTTTGTTACAGAAATATTTGCACATGAATTACTTCACAGTATAGGGAAAGTTGGCCAACTGTGAGGAGGAAAAACAAATCTTAGATTAAAAATAATAGACACCTAAAAGTTTATAGAAAGAAAATATTTAAATATCTCTCTAAATCAGAACTGAGGGCTGAAGGCAACTACTATTTGGCCATTGCCCATCAGAAGTCTTGCATTCGCCTTATCTGTCTGTGCTTGGGCAGTCTCTCTCCCAGTAAGAAATGTCGTGAACTAAAGCCTTTGTGATTCTCATCAGAAGCTTGAAAATCCTATCTGCTCCTATATTTCTCTCCATCTTCACAAAGAAGCCTGGCAAGCTTCCAGAACTACGTAGAGGAAGAAGCAGAAGGTAAGTTACAGTTAATAATTAGTGGGAAGGGGTGGAAGGAAAAGGAATCTAGAGAAGTAAGTTTCCTCATATATTAAATAATAATTGTACTCAATAAATGTTAGGTATGTATACATTATCGTCATTTTACAGAAGGTAGGAATAAAACTTATTTCAGGGTTATTGGGAGCATATAATGAGATAACCGTTATAAAGTAATTAGACGCAATGCTAAGCTCATAGGCAGTGGGGTTTAATAAAAGGTGCTATTATCCTGATGGAAGGCGCAGACTTAGGAATGGAGTCAAGGAGGATTATCCCCCCTCTGAACCTAAACATTTTTCTAGTGAAAAATGTTATGAGTCTTGAACTAAATTGAATATTGTAAAGTCTGTGAAAGTATTTTTAAAACTACTGAATTGTATACATCAAATGGATAAATAGTTATGTGTATTATATCTCAATAATGCTATTAAAATATTGTGAGTCAAGGAATTAAGCAAAGAAATAAAAAGAAAGACTTATGGACACAGACAACAGTATAGTGATTGCCAGAGGGAAGGTGGGATGGGGGAAGGTAGAAGAAGGTAAAGGGGGGATAAATGGTGATGGAAGGAGACTCGACTTGGGGGGGTAAACACACAATACACTATACAGATGATGTGTTGCAGAATTGTATACCAGAAACCTGTATAATTTTACTAACCAAATGTCAGCCCAATAAATTCAATTTTAAAAAATCTATAGATTCAACGCAATCCCTATTAAAATACCAACAGCATACTTCACAGAACTAGAACAAATACTCCAAAAGTTTATACAGAATCATAAAACCCCAAATAGCTGCAGCAAACTTGAGAAAAAAGAAAGAAGTTGGAGAGATCACAATACTGGATATCAAACTATACAACAAAGCTATTATAACCAAAACAGCCTGGTACTGGCACAAGAACAGGCATATAGACCAATGGATCAGAAGAGAAACCTCAGAAATTGACCCACACCATTACAAGTCAATTAATATTTGACAAAGGAGGCAAGAACATACAATGGAGTAAAGACAGCTTCTTCAACAAATGGTGTTGGGAAAACTGGACAGACACATGCAAAAAATTATTGTGAGCCAAATCTTAATCTTTTCCACATTCCCATTGTTGGCACAATGACTATCACAGAGTAAATGCTCATTACATTTGTGCTGAAATCAAGTAAAAATGATACAATTAATGGGGCAGGGCAGGAAAGAGAGCTCTTCTTTACCTTGGTCCTAGATCTCTTCCTTCCCAGGAGAGATGTTATATTCCATTAAAGTTTACAATAATGCTGTGGAGTGTTGCAGAGGAACTCCACTAGATGCCAATCATGTTTAGGCCTTAAACATGGCTTTTTGGAATGGTCTCTTGATTCTTCACTTTGGACAAACAAAAACTGAGGTATGTTTTGGAAAGCCATTTTGACCTCTTAATACTGTCCCTGTCAGAAATCTGACCTAAGTGTTTTTGAATTGATAATTACCATTTGATCAATCATGCTTCAGTCACTTTCATTTCAAATGCAAACTAGTCTTATAGCATAGCCTATAAGTCAAAAACAAATTCTGACTCAATCTAAGGGATTCAAGACCAAGTCAAAATATGAGGAGGTGCTGCTTACAGATGACTCACCATTGTCCATAATAAAGCAAATTTTTCCATCACTCGAAATATGGTAAGAATGGCTCTCCAGCCTGAGTAACAACATTAAGTTGTCCTTAAAGCATTTGGGCTCCATACAGTAACACTTTTTTCTCTCAGGACTAATTTCAGTCTTACTTACTCATGTCACTTACTTGTTAGATCAACTACAATTCTTGGGTTTTTTTACTCATGGTAATGTGGTCACTGCCATCCTGCACCACAGACAGTAACCATGGGTTCCCACACTGATTACCCACACACTGTCCTCAGCCCCATAATGTGTGCAAAGTGGCTCAACACCACCAAGAAGCAGGGAACAAGAAGCTGAAAAGTCATGATTTCACCAAGGCACCCAGATAGGCAGTGAATGAAATCATAAATGGCTTAAATCATATAAGTAATTTTATAACATTCTTAGGAACAATAGAAAGGGACAAAATTTATTAATTTTGGCCCTCACTTTTATCTTTCTAAACCTTAAGCAGTATTGGCCTTTCATGAGTGGAGGCCTCTAGGCATTTTATCTGAGTAAAGGGACACACAAATCCAAACACTTTCAATGAAGAAATTACTGTTCGATAAAAGGCAATCATGCCAAATTTTAAAAAGAGACTTGACTAAGAATCTCTAATCTTTTTTTCTAGAGGACTAAACCATTTTTAAATACATTTTCTTAAGAAAAAAAGCTCAACTTACTCTGTAAGTTTTAAAAACAAGTTCTATGAAATATCAATTGAGGCAAGATTCCCAATGATAATATCTGAGTCTTAATGCATGTCACTGCAGCACAACGGTGGAGAGATCTGAGACAATATTTCCCTAAAGCAGTGATTCTCAAACTTCAAGATATAGAATCCCCTGGCAAGTATGTTAAATGCAGATTCCTTCATCTCCTCCCATACCCTGAAGAGTAGGACTCGGGAATATAAATTTTGAGGAACATCTCAAGTGATCCTGATCACAGTTACTTTAATTCTGATGTACCTCACTTTAAGAAACATCAATCCCTAAGGCAAATGAAATAAATGTGTTTTGCCTTAATGTTATAATGCAGATATAATTATGAATAATTTTCAGAAGCCTGGTTAGTTGTAATTTTTAAAAATAACATAAAGGAGATTACCTCTCTTCTTTTGACCTTTCTTGTGAAAACAACCGCTGAATAACATGACTGAACACATGAACATCACAAAAAGCAGAGTATATGGGGCACGGAATAAGCATTAGTTCATTCAAAGAAAATTTACTATAAATTTGTTTTCTTTCAAACCTTAACATCAGTGACCTCACCAGACCTAACAGTAAAACATTTTTTCAAAATATTACTCATAAGAATCTTAGTCCTAATAAAAAAATGTTGTTGATTCAAATGATGTAAAGAGTATTTTGCTGGAAATCAGTTAAACACAGTACAAAAGTTATATGTAGAAGAGTGAAAAAGTACCCAGTAGGACCAGAAAAAAAAAGTCATTAGGCAGAGTTTCTAGAAAAGGAAAGCAATTTTCACAAATTAAGAATATTTTAGTAAGATGTTTTTGTGTCTGAAGGGATAAAAAAGTAAATAGTAAAAACAAAACATGTATGGATGGTGACAGGTGTTAACTAGACTTATTGTGATGATCACTTCACAATATATACAAATATTGAATCATTATGCTATTCACATGAATTATTATGCTGTACACCTAAAACTAATATAACATTTTATATCAATTATACATCAATTAAAAAACATGTGAGGTAATGGATGCTAACTTATTGTGGCAATAATTTTACAATACACACATGTCAAATCATTATGTTGTACACCTTTAACTAATATAATGTTATTGATCAATTATATCTCAATAAAACTGGAAAAGCATATTAAAATAATATTGTTCCAATTTTTCAGGTGTGATTTCTAAATGGTGATGATATTATTGGTAAATTTCTTTCTTTTTTCCTTATTTGTGTTTTCTAACTTATAACTGATGAAATACTGCTTTTTGTGTGTTTTTTGGTATTTTTAATTAAATTTTTAAATTATATTTTGTAATTGTATAGCACTAGATATATGATTTAATTAGTTTCAGATATATATCATAGTGGTTAGACATTATATAACTTACTAAGTGATGCCCCTTGACAAGTCTAGCATCCACCTGGCATCAGAAATATTGTTTATATAATAAAGAGATGCTTGGAAAAAATATAAAAGTAAATTTAAGAGAACACAGTTTAGCCTTCTTGAAGATTAGTACATTATAGTTTCCCTGTACTAAAACCAGAAAAAAAATCTTTCTTTCTTGGT